GTGAGAACACTCTACTATCTCACTCGCACTGAGAACCTGAGGCTGAGGGAACCGAAGTGATGTCGTTCTAGCTGAGAGCCGGTGATGCATGCTTAAGGAGCAAACCTGGAGACACCTGGGGTGAGAGGTTTTGGCGGGGCCTCGATATCTGGAGGTCACTCAACTTTCGATGAGCGACTGAAAACCAGGGCAGTGGCCTGAACAAGCGGGCCTGTCGAAGCTGCTTTACACCAGTTGCAAGGACTCGTTAAGGCGTAGCCACGGGCAGCCTTGGCCGGGTAGTTATGTCTCTTGGTCCGGATCCTCTCTGCTTTTAGAACAGTATCCACAGAGGCACTGGAAGTTGAATCCCACATATTACCCACCCACTTGCGACTTAAGCAACGGGCACAGATAACAGCGGCCCGCCTCAGCACATTACCAGGAAATCACCCAATCCACGGAGTGATCGTTCGAGCAATAGCGCGGAGTTCACATATTGGAAGTGGTCAACGATTCCCCCTTGCAGAAACGATGCGGACTATGGACCTTAACCGTCTACAAGCCCTAGAAACCATTGACCCAACACCCCTAGCACCATGGCGAACTCAGCCCTTCACGGAAATTGAAATCGAGCCTGACCGAGAGAAGGCCAAAGCCAACGCCTCAGCAAGGCAAGCAATGACAGGTGCCACGGTGTTTTCAGATGCATCAGGACAACAAAATCAATTGGGTGCTGCAGCAGTAGCCCTGGACAAAAATCAGCAGATTTTAGGGTCCCGACAAGTTAGTATCGGTTCAATGAGCTATTGGTCTGTCTATGCAGCAGAACTCATGGCGATCTATTATGCAATTGGGCTGGTTTTTCAACTGGCGCAAAAGAATCAAACTACTGCGAAAACAACACGAGGTCCAGCAACAATCCTCAGCGATAGTATGTCCGCACTGCAGGCAATTGCGAATGCATGGAATAAGTCAGGCCAGCGAATTCTTCAGGCCATCCATCAGGCGGCTGGGGAGCTAAAAGCCCGAGGAATCCCGCTGCGACTACAATGGGTCCCGGGACATTGCGGTGACCCTGGAAATGAGACAGCAGACCGGCTTGCCAAAGAAGCAGTAGGCCTAGAAAAGAAACACCCGTTCCGACATCTTTTGTCCTGTGAAAAGGGATATATCCGCGATAGAATTAGCAAGGAATGGGAACAAGAATGGAGAACCTCCAAGAAAGGAGGGCACCTCCGCAAAATCGATCGGACCTTACCGTCAAGCCGCACCCGCCGGCTCTACGGCTCACTCCCTCGCAACCGAGCTTATCTGCTCACCCAACTCCGGACCGGCCACTCGTGGCTGGCAACATATGGCAAGCAACATCGCTTCCAGGAAGAGGAAAAATGTGAATGTGGGGCGGTAGAGACAGTGGTCCATGTATTAATTGACTGCCCGCGGCTAAACAGGCTGCGCCAAGAGCTACGACGCAAAATAGGAAGAGCATTCAACAACATCTCAGATATGCTAGGAGGAGCTGAACAAGGTAAGGAAGGTAGGTTACAAGATGCCCCGCAGGACAGCAGCGTCTTAGGCGCGGTACTGGACTATGCAGAGGCATCGCAGAGATTTCGAAGTCGCGCGCCACGAGGGCGGCAGAACAGAACACCAGGCATAGGCCAACACAGGCCTTGACGAGGCTCCAAGTTCGTCAGGAAAGTAATAGTTTACTATAAATAGACGCACAGATAGAGTACAGATAGTGGCGGTCCCGCATATCGCCCTGAGGCGAGGGGTCGGCGTATGAATCATCATCATCATCATCATCGTCTGTATACTGAAAATACGCTTACGAGCGCTCTGTTCGTGTGAGTTACATTAACATAATATTTTACTGTATTCTATAGTATTATTTTTACACTACCCCCGTGATTCTCCTTTTACAGCTGCTAGTTGTTCATAATGAGCTCCATACTATTAACCAATATATTCTCCCACAAGATACCAAATAAGAACATCGATAATCCGCACATGATTCGATATTTTCTGTGATGTCTGAAGGCCAACACCTCGTGATTGTACACGTAGATTTGATAACAAAAATTGTTGAACATCTTCTGGAGGTCACTCTATAACCTTGTTAAACATCCGGTGTTCAAATATGCACTCTACTTTTGATACTACGGTGTATTCAAGCATCAACTAAAAGTTTTGTAGCTGTATATGGAGTATCAATAAAACATAATTCATGTCAAATCCTCTGGTTTATTTCATGAAATAGGGGCGGGGTATGATATACTCCTCAATTCTGGGGTGGCCGCAAAAAGCTCCATGATTATCAAGTTAACCACATTTGAAGCACCTCTAGAACATATGTTCCCGCTAGACTAGTCATAAGAGCTCATGTCTCTCTGCAAAATTTATATATATATGGACACTAGTGTGTAATCAAAGTATTCACTATCTCTAAAGAATCACGAGCTACCTTACGTGATACTGGCTGTTACAATGACCACCTCTAGTAACCAAAAGCGTACTTTCTGGAGGAATAAATGTCGAAAGTCGCTTGCAGAGCATATAAGTAAGGTACCCATTGTTGCCCATACCGACATCGCAAGTCCGGATCTCAAGCGGTGGGATAAAATAGTTCGAAGCACTAGCCCCATGATTATCAACGACAGAAATGAACAAGAGACCATATATCATATAGTCTTCATCAGGATGCTGACATAAAATATAGACAGTCGACTTGGCTTTGAGATTCCCCCTGATAAGATCCGCTTGCAGCCACGTCACGAAGATCCATACAGATGGCATGTTGCTGATCACCTAAAGCCCCTCTTCAAATCAAACTTAAGCAGTGGCAGTGTTGGAAATTTTCAAAAGATCTACCATGCCTTGAAAGCCCCAGACCTAATAGAAGCAATACATCCAGAGGCTTTGCAAAGTGGCCAGGACCTTGAGGTATATATGACTATATCCTATCCTTTTTGTATATCTAGTTGGCTTATTATTTCAGACCGAGAAACAAAACTCAGTCCCCTGCAGCAGCTTCGCAGCTACAATACAAAGGCTCGAGAAGGAAAAGCAGGACATGCTGGCTGATAGCCAAGCAGAGCGTCGGAAGCTACAGGAGGAAATATCACGGTGGAAGGGTGCCGTATCGTCCTATGAACTCAGGGTTCAAGAGTTGAAGGAGGTAGTCTGCCCTGCCCTGGATACACTAAACCTTCATTTACCTGGGCTGTTCGATGCGATTCATGCCGAACAATACTTGGTGGATTAGCAGCATCCGAGAAGTGACACGCGTTGAGATTAATAGGAGGCTGCTTTGCTTAGCTTAGTTTCATTCACTTCTTCCACGTCATTTTATTATGTGTTCTAAGTTTTTACGTTTACATTGAACGTGTTCCCATCGTCCTTGCAGTTTAGAAAAGTTCCGGGAAGAGAGCCCAGTACAAATCGAAGTCTCCTGCCGCTGTATGCTTCTTTCTTACGAAGCATTCTGTAATATGAGTTAGGGGTAGCTCGTTGGCATACACATGGCATTAAGGCCATTGCACTATACCCTATGATAGTGTCTGTTCTAAACTAAGAGATATCAAATTGATTTCTTGCATTTGTGCTTATCACCCACTTGACTGAGCCTAAGTTCTTGAATATACATAACAAATTTTGTGGCATCATACAATCTCATTATCGGCTAAGTGGGACAATGGTGTCCTACATGATCTGAAGAACCACTTACTGGGCCTCTCAGCTTTAGCTTCTTCCCGTATTCATCATCAGCCTCAGTGGGTATGTTCTAATCTACTGTATCATTGGGACGATTGCCAAACGAAAAAAGGCCAAGATTGCTGGGATAGGCGAGTCGGAGAACATAGAAGAATAGGCCGATGATTCTCATTTGAGGGTAGGCGCAACCTCCTTTTCTTTTCTCTCACAACCCTCTGGTGAATTGATGTGATGTTACCAATCATGATTAATGCATAAGCTGGAGTGCCTTTGGTTCCCATTGGTATTCCAGCGGGCCATGGCTCTGTTTCAATGAGCTTTTGTATTACTACGACCTTGGCTGTCGAGGGTGATACTGATAGGTGGGGTACAGATAATGGAACCATGAAGACACTGATAGGCTCAGAACAGGCAAGAACATGGGCGAGATCTGCGGGTAAAAGGCCATGGTCCAGTAACTGACTGACCAAGAGGGGGCATGAAAGCCGATGCGGAAATGTCACTAGAATCTGGATGCAACCCCCCCATCCCCCGCCTTCCCCCGGGGGGCATGGCACAGACCGAGAGTGATAATAAGGACAACCCTTCGGCTGCGATTGGTTCAGACATGGTGGAGTCTTCGAGACTCACAAAAGTCACACCTGAGCCACTGCTTACTCCCACGTCTCTGGCTAGAATAGCAATCAGTCGAATAATTTATTCATAGTTGCCCAGGCATCATCAATCCACAAATCTGCGGCATCCAAGCCCCATAGCCCATTATAGGCACGAAAGGAAAGGATTTTCTCGGCAATGTCACGAACTTCGTTTTCCATTGCTGGGCAAGACCACTGGCATCCTCGATGTATTGGACCGCAGCCTTCCCCTTAATCCTAAGTAGACCACTAAGAAGCTTCATTGGGCTAAGCGTGACTCAACACTGTCAGTAAGCTAGATACTATGCTTCACGTATGTAGTAATTGTCCTGACGCTGGTTATTTCTATTTTCATTTCGTTTACCTGGGAAGCAATGTCCCGCCGCGAGAAAGGCTGGCATGGCAAGATGAGAGCGATTCGCTCATGACCTTATCCATCCGCGCTGGAAGCGCTGTGATGGGGCCAGTGCGACATACACCCACCTGATTTGTTGGTTGCCATCCACTTATGATAATATCCAACAGGACGGCTGAAACATTGTGGGACAATCCAAAAGATATAAAGGCTTGCTGTTTTCTACCCATTGTCGAAATAACTCACATCTTTTTTCCTAACCAGCGACATACTATCTTTTCAATCACAAGTAGTTAGTTTTATTGTTCATCATGTCGTACAATCAAATTATTTCCAAGAAGACCGTCAGCACAATCATCAAAAACGGCCGAGAGGTTACGATCTCGGTGGCAACGAAAACTAGCCATTGGATACGTCCTGACGTTGCTGTCGATGCAGTCGGGGACGCTTTTACTAAGGCGGTGGAGGGATACACTGGGGAATTACCTGCTGATACAAAAGACGTCTGCGCGAGGTTAGGGCTCACTTAGTGTTCGCTTTTAAAGGCTAACTGTGTTAATAGAGAGTCCGAGCATTCGAGCACCGATCCCAGAGACCATTTCACTGGAGTCTGCTTCAACTCGAAAAACGAAGGACAAAGTGTGCACTTTCCGACTAAGAAATGATCATGCCAGCCTTCTTTCTTCTACGCAGCGTAAGTATTCACATGGATTTGTCTATAGTGTGGAAGGGCCTAAAGCGTCTTTGCAGCTGTTGTCCATGCGTGAGTCGTGGCTCTGTCAAGCAATGCAACGACATGGTTACATGAATAGGTCCAATCACTTGGGTTGATTTGGTCTTCTCGGTTTTGGAGTGGACGTTTGGATTTCATAAGTTGGATATTTTAGTGCTTCAACCAATGAGATGCATGGGTTTAAGTCGACCAAATCAGATACTTTCCGAAGGGTAATTTTAGATATTTGTGTCAGCGGAATTTTTTCGAATCCTTGAGACATAATACTGATAGCTTTGTGCGTAAATTTGTCCGCGTCTTTCGCATAAAACGTTTGACTCAAGCCTCCAATCATGGAAAGGAAATGTAAGACCGGCGCGACTGAAGTTTAGTTACCTTATCATTTCCCTTAACCCCAATAATCTCGCTGGCTGACTAGAATAATTTCAGATGTCAAGGTCGACGATGATGGTGAATGCAAAAGTCGATAGATGGCTGGCCCAGAAACCTGCCAGGCTGGTGTTCGACAGGTGACTCACGTCTAACCGCCGGCTGCTGGGCTTTCCCACTAATTTGAGCCGTCGATCACATTCGCATTGACCACCCACTAACGTGAGTGCCTGCAAGTAAAGTCACAGGCGATACCAAGCACAACTTCTCCACCAATATCAAGGATCGCAAACCCCACCGACGCGGAAGGGGTGGCCTTTCATTTGGGCAGATCGTGCCAGACTATTGGATGACGAGGTTCGCTTCTGTCAAAAGACGCTCATCTCGCAGGTATCTTGCAGCAATGCGAGGCATTCGTCCACTGATATCGTCCAAGGTAGAAGAAGGCTACACGGCTGAGACAGTCAAAGTCCAAGCCGCATTCGGAGATTTAGACGGAACTTACGAATTGCTCGTACAACGTTCCTATAATTACCAGTGACTCTTTTGCAGATCAAATCGCATAATTGGAGCGCAAAGTATCCAATAAAAGTCAAGGTTAAACGCCGTCATAAAAGAATGTACTGTGACAGCTTCACGCGTAATCGTTGCCTGTGGCACCCGTAATCAGAGTGCCCGAGCCACAAACTAACCCGACCCCTACACCAGTTCCGGGGTCGGTTAGACCACAGAGGCGCCGAGATGATGGGTGCGAAAGACTATTATGCTAGCATAAACAGTGACAACACTGCCGAATGGCCACCCTCGTTGCGGTACATCTGCCGTCTCGTTACATGATCTCGGCGCTAATAAGTCAAGCCAATCGCCATTCGAGCCCTGCTCCTGCTTCTTTGCCTAGGTGAGGGGGAGGCCCGTGCGGAGGATGAAAACCCTTCATTTAAGACACTCCTGGATGGCAAGGTTTGCTTCTTTGAAGAGGCGCTCATCCCAGTGATCGAACGCCGAGGTGGTGTGACATTTCGATGGTGAATGGAGTCCTGCCTACTCTTGTAAAATATTCACTATTACCTGCAGGGCGATTATTTTTTCAGGTGAAGCTGAGGTCGCGCTCCGAAACTCACTTGACAGTAACGCGACAGCCTCAAATCATTGGCCTTCCTGATCAACAACCCGTGGGATAGTCTGACAGGTTGAAAATCATTGGCCTCCACCCCCTAAAATCGAGGTGCCGCCTCCCGAGTTCACACAGCAGCCTTGCTTGTTCATCCAATCAGGGGCTCCTTACCAAAAAGTACCCCAATCTAGCTAAGCCGACCCCTCTCCGAGGCTCAGGAACGTGGCGGAGGTAATTCGAGACATTAACCTTTATTTTATTTATTTTATTTATTTTATTTATTTTATTTATTTTATTTATTTTATTTATTTTATTTATTTTATTTATTTTATTTATTTTATTTAT